GGAGATGCCAGGAGAAGGGTGTTTGCTTGTTTGGGGGCTTATACCTCAAAAAGATGGGCCCATTTCTCTACAAGGTCAGTTCTTCCTAGAGGTTCTCACCTCACCTGCGCATCTCACCCACAGCCATGTAACCCTGCAGCAGCAGGAGTTGAGGAGCTCCTGGGTCTTTGGGGTCAGCCACTGGCCAGGATAGCGGAAGAGGAAGCTCCGTATGAAAGGAAGTCTGTTCTACTCTAAGATGCGTAGGGGTGTTTGTGTCTTGTCCCACCTCCCGGAGCCTAGGAACACTTGGGAATCCTACCTGGAGGAAAGATGAATGTCTGTGTTAGACTTGGAAATGGTGCAGAGATATCTGTTCCCCATGACTCCCTATCTCCCCATCACCCTGAGTGGCTGGAGGAACCTGATTCTGGCTCCCTCCCTGGAAATAGGATTTTACCTATCACTTGCTGTCTGCTTGACTTCAGGTCCTTCTGATTCTCTGGGCCTCATTTATCCCTTCTGTAAAATGGAGGTAGTCTTGCAGCTTCTTGAGAACAGGGGCTGGAGTAGATGACTTCCTTGAGCCCTCTCCTGGGGTGAACTTGGCTGGGGAACTCAGTAGGGCCCTGATGTTAGGTAGAGAAAGCCTTGCTGTGCATAGCTTTCCTGCTTCTCTGGAAGTTTAGTGTCTTTCCCCTGGGTAGAGACAGCTGCTCAGCTGCAGATGTTTACACAGAGAACTGGAGTGCTGTGGCCACCCATACAAACCCACCCTCTCTGTCACCATCAGAAGCCAGGAGGCCTGGAGTTTACAACCAGAGGAACTAAGTGGGTGGAAGGGAGAAAGGAAGAAGGCCAAACTGCAGATCCTGGGAGGTGGTTCCTCTGGTAGGGAAGCTGGAGGCCTGGGGTGGGGGTGGGAGGAAGCCTGTTGTGCGTCCTGGGAGCTAGCTTTGGAAGGAGTGGTGAGTGAGGCTTTTGAACTCTGGAACAAAGACCCAATTGTGATGCCTTTGACCTGGGACACGGTGGGCGAGTTGAGGCATTTCCACCAGCCATGTTGGGGCAGCAGCTCAGTCAGCACCATCCCTGCCTCCCTGGACCTCCCGCTGGGTGCCAGGTTTCTGCCTGGGTGCCTTCTCACCTAGCTGGCAGTAAAATAGAGGGTCCAGCCAAAGGACTTCTGGTCCTTTGGCTGGGACCTTAGCCAGGAAGTGCTGTACAGGTGTGGGCGTGCCAGCGCCCTGTGCTCTCATCTGTCTCAGCCCATGTGCCTGGAAGGTAATTCCAAGTCCACAAACAATGAACAATAGGTGCCAGGCCCTGACCTTCACCGAATCATTCTACCAGAACCATGGAACAAGTCTATGTGGCCGCAGGAGGCACTTTTAACTGTTTGGGGGCTGAAGTAACAAAGAGTCCAAGAGTTAAGATCTCTCCCTTCTACAGATCTCATGGGAAAGGCTAAGAATGGGCTGAGCCCAGATGGCAAGTGGGCTGTGGGCTGAGGAGAGACATAAGCTAAAAGAGCCAATGCAGAACTCCCAGGACCATCCTTGCCAGAGGATGTCTCTGAGACCCTCTGCCAGCATGGTGCTCATAGACAGTAGAAATTCATATTGCTTATTGCTAATTGATTCTTTGAAATTGGAGGCAGGTGACAGCTGAGAAGATCTCAGAAGGAGGATGTTTTCCCAGCACTAAAGATAAACCCATTCCTTGGACATAGATAATCAGAAGTTACAAGTTCCCAAGAATGGAACCTGAGTAGCTTTTGGAAAGCATTTTTGATCAAACAGAGCCTGGGGGCGGGTCCCTGCCAAGAAAGAACAATTTTGTCTCCGTCCATCAACAGGGTGACATAGAGCAGAAAGATTCAACAACTTTGGTAGCTTTACCACCCTGCAGGCCAAGCAGGGCATACGGCAGCCGTTGTTGCTTTGTGGAAACCCTTCTACCCTAGACGTGAGCCGCAGTGCCTGAGATGA